GGTGGTGACAACCAGATTGCTCCATGGTAAAATTCCCTGTCAGTCTTTCATCTAATAGTTTTATTCATTGATGATAATTGCTTGCCTCAGTGATTTCATTAGGGGTTGCAAAATGGTGATTTTCCATTTCTATAATTCCTTTCTCACTCATTAACTGGAAGCCTTTTGTAAAGAACTTTCCCTCATCAACTAGGACAATTTGGTAACCCTGAAATAAAATTCACACAGGAAAGGGGGGACAAATGCTTGATTCTTTCCTTTAATTGCCAATTGTTCGAATAAGGAGTTGGTGCTCGTCCCATGTGTTTCTCTCCCCTTCTAGACCTTTATCCTCCTCGTCCCTTTTCCTGTCACTCTGAATGGTTACATTTTGTATGTTCAGTGTTTCAAGTGCCTTCTATTAATCTTTCTGACAGTTCAGATTGCCCTGTCTTAGGCAATGGGAGCTCTGTGTCCTTTACTGGTTCCCCATCCTCTGATGTCTTTGCTTTCCGGCACAAGATGCCCCAAGGCTCATCCTGAGTATTTTCTGCACCAGATCTGGAACCAACCTTTCCTACAGAGCGCTGGGTACCAGGAGATCTCACTGTTGTCAAATTGTCCTTTGCTTTTAGGCTTTTTCAGTGCCAAGATTTTTATTTTAATTATTTTATTTTATTTTATTTTATACTTACACCTTTTCTCTTGCTCTGGAAACAGTGACTCCTAATATGTTTGTTATTATACAATATGCCATAAAATAAGTTCAAATAACACCAATACTACTATTAACAGGTACACTACCAAACAAAATGAAACATATCTTTATGCCTTTATTTGTCCTTAGGGAAAAACTAACTCTTGCAATATTCTCTCTGTATAAAAAATTAGATAAACTGTACTTCAGCAAAATTTAAAATCTTTGTGTTTCAAAGAACACTATCAAGGAAGTGAGAAAACAACACACAGAATGAGAAAAAAATATTTGCAAACCACATATCTGATAGGGAACACGAGTCCAGAATATATATTGGAAAAAAACTCACAACTCAGCAGTAAAAAGGCAAATAATCCAATTAAAAAACAAAGAAATAATTTGGATAGACATTTCTCCGAAGAAAATATACAAATGGCCAGTAAGCACTTGAAAAGATGTTCAACATCATTAGCCCTCAGGGAAACACATATTAAAACCACAGTAAGATACCAGATCACACCATGATTGCAATAGTCAAAAGACAAATAACAGTGAATGTTAGGAAAGATGTAGAAAAATTGGAACCCTCATATATTGCTCGTGGGAACGTAAAATGGTGCAGCTGTTGTGGAAAATAGTTTGGCAGTTCCTTACAAAATTAAACACAGTTTCTATAAGACCCAGCAGTTCCAATTCCAGGTATACACCCAAGATAATTGAAAACATTTTTATTTTATCTTTTTAATTTTTTTTATTTATGAGGAGAGGTAATTAGGTTTATTTATTTATTTGTTTATTTAATGGAGGTACTTACTGGGAATTGAACCCAGAACCTCATGCATGCTAGGCATGCACGCTACCACCGAGCTATACCCTCCCCCCAAGATAACTGAAAATATTATGGCCAAAGACTTGTACACGAATGTTTATAGCAATATTATTCCAAGAGCCGAAAAGTGAAAACAGCTTAAATTCCATCAACTGATGAATGGATAAGCAAACTGTGGTATATACATACACCCAATAGACTATTACTCGGCCGTAAGAAGGAATGAAGTCCAGATACATGCCACAACAGGGAGGAACCTCGAAAAGTGAAAGCCACTGGCACACAAAAGGTCACATATTATATAATTCTATTTACATGAAATGTACAGAATAGGTAAAGCCGTATAGACAGAAGGCAGACTGATGGCTGCCAGGAATTGGGGTGAGCAGGGAATGCTAACGGGTAGGGGTGATGAAAATGTCCTAAGTTAGATAAATGGCTGTGGTAGCACAAATTTATGAATATCCTACAAACACTGAACTTTACACTTTAAAATGGTGAATTTTATGGTATATGATTTATATCCCAATTAAAAAAAACCTTTCTCCCCGCGTTTGCTCCTTAGACGCCCAAAGAGAACTCCAGGTACTCTAACCCCGCCCCTCCATTCGTCTCCGGGAGTGGCTGCCACAGCGTGGGCAGCACAAATGCGTAAGCGCCTTTCTGCTTTGGAAGGCGTGGGGCTGGCCCCGCCCATGCAGGACGACCCCGCCCACTCCTCGGCCTGCCCCGCCTCTCTCGCCAATCTGCGCTTGCGCCCCAATGCCCCGTTTCCGCGCGTCCGCGTGGCCGCCCGGGGCGCGTGGCTGCTCCGAAGTGAGCAGGTGGCGCATGTTAGTCCCTTTCCCGGCTCCTAATGGGCACAGGCGGCCCCTCACCTGGGAGATTTCTGCCAAGTCCCCGGAACGGTCAGCACGCATCGCCCCGGGCTTCCGACGCTCCCTGTCAGCCGCTTTCCCGCTCCGTGCTCGCGGGGAATACCGGAGCCCTGTTTCGGGGGCTGGACCAGCCTTTTAGAACGGGGGTGGACAGTCTTTCCCTCAAGAGCCACGCAGTAAATAGTTTATCCTTTGCAGGCCATGCTGTCTCTGTCACAACTACTCAACTCTGCTTTTGTGGCACAGAAACAGCCATGACAATAGATAAAGGAACGAGTGTGGCCTGTTCCAATAAAACTACTCTGGACACTGAAATCTGAATCCTATATAATTTCTACATTTCATGAAATATTCTTCTCTTGATTTCTTCAACCATGTGAGAAAAAAACAAAACCTAACAACAACAAACCATTCTTAGCTCGCTGGCTGCAAAAAACATGGTTTGCCGACCCCAGTGCCCCTTTACAGGTTTCGGTAGTTGTCGAGGACAGGACGCCTAAGTAGCCCGGGGAATCCACAGACACAAAGCTGAGAACATTACCTTGGTCCGAGGGTGGTGTGAAGCCGATCTCTGGTTCCACACTTCTTCCACTCCAGCGTCCCAACGTCTCAGGGACTAGCATCCTGAGAAAAGGGCCTCACCACTTGAGGACCAACCTATTTTACCTTTGCAAATTATCTCATAATTCCATTTTATTTTATTTCATTGGATTTCTTTGGTAGGAAAAATCCTTTTAAAGTTTATTTTTATTTTTAATTGTAGTAAATAGAAAACCTAATTCTTTTGGATCCAAAGCGTGCCTTCTTGCAGCTCTGCATTCTTACCACCAGTTATACAGCCTCTGCCACAAAGCTGGTTCAGAGCTGCTGCTCTGTCTGGAGGGCAGAGTGCCAGCCTCAGCCACTTGGCTCCGCCCACTGGAACAGAAGAAGCCCCTCCCCTCCCTGTCCTTAGGAAAGTGCAGCCGCTCAAAGGCAGGCATGATGTGGAGACAGCTCACATATTACACCCGGTATTTGTGGGTCTGCAGAAGGAGTGGGGACAGGATTTAGGCCAGCACTACTCAGTAGAAATTTAACAGTGGCTAATATGTAATTCTATATTTTCTAGTAGCCACATTTACAACAGTTAAAATGAACAAATAAAGTTCATTTTAATATATTTTATTTAATCCAATGCATCCAAAATAGTATTTCAACATGTAAACAGTAGAAAACAATTATTAATGAAACTTTTACTTTATTTTTGGTGCTAAATTTTCGAAACCTGGTGTGTTTTTGACACTTACAGAGCACCTTGCTGCAGACCAGACACATTTCAAGTACTCACTAGGCACGTGTGGCTGGCGGTACCATACTGCACAGATTTAGACCAAATGAAACAGGGATTGTGGCGAAAAGAAAGTGGTTTGTGATTCCACGAGAGAGGAGATAGCTGCTCAGCACATAGTCCTGGGAAACCTGGGCTGAGTTAAGGTTATAAGAGGGCAGCTGCCAAGCACTGCACCTACCGGCCCCACCCCATGCCACCCGCAGGCATACCCTAACCGTTGCATTGTTGCTAGAGCAGATTAAAGAGGTGAGCAGAAGGTTTAATTCCTCATTTACTGGTCAGTGTGTGAAGGCATCATCTGTACCTCAGTGTGCGCCTCTGGTCTGTCAGTAAGGCTGAGCTGGGTTTGTTGGTGGAGAGTGGGACAAGGTGCACGGTTTGGAACAGGAGGTTTGGCCATCGGGACCCAAGGCTGGTGATGAGGCAGGTCCACTGAACTTTCACATTGGGGACAGGCATTGGAAGGGGAAAGACAACCCAGGGGAAAGTAGCAGAAAATGTCGAGGACCCAGAGCTTAAAACAGAGGGGGATTTTAGTTCAAAGAGAAGCAGCAGTTTCATCATTTCAAGCTTTAGATGATTAACCTTTTTGACACTTCATTCAGGGGCCAAGGAAAAGCCCTTTTCTTTTTGAGTCCCTCATCCCGCTGCCACCACATGCACACACGCACTCTGAGCCCTGCTCCAAGGAGGGCCTCCAGTCACGCTCTCCCCAGAACTTGAGGGGCCCCAACCTGGGTTGCTCCTTCTGGGGATAAGGTAGGACTAAGAGAAGGTAAAATTAGGAACTTCTGAGTCGGGAGGCTGTGGCCCCACCCTTCTGCGTCACCGAATGGCTTATCAAAGACAGCCCTGAGGGGAGAGGGGCGGCTAGAGCGTCCTCTTTCCCAAAATCAAACCTATATTTTGCCTGGTGAGACTCTTCCCCAGGCCCCCAGCCACACTTGAGTCTGTGGAGATGTTTCAGCTGGCCACAGGGGGCAGCGTTTCTGGGCCTCTGTTCAATTCTGCCATTTACACCAACCCCTTGGGTCCTCCAGCTCCCCAGGCAGAGCAGTGTGGGCCCTCCATGAAACTGGGACAGGGGACACATGAGCACACACAGTCATTAGTCACCAGGGGTTTTCCAAGGACAAGGTTCACATGGGGTCACCTGAGGGAAAAACACCAAGTTCCAGACATTGGGCTCGGGCCCACTTAAAGTCAGGGTAGGAGCGTCTGTGGCCCTGTGCTGGGAGAAAGTGTCAGAGGAAAAGCTCCAAGATGGACAGGGAAGACAGACACTGTAGATCAGAAAGACACAGCCAGATTGGCTCTGGCTACATTTATTACAAAATGATTACAAACCTGGTATTAAAAAAAATCCCTGACAGCAACTGATACACCTGCAATCCCCCCGCCCCACGAAGTCTCTCCCTCAGGTGCCCTGGTGTGGAGGGCTCTCAGATGCGAAGGTCCCCAGCCAGGAGAGCACTGTACCTGGCAGGGGTGAGGGGCAGGTAGGCGCCCCCAGCCTGGTCCAGAATGTAGAGCGGGTCGGACAGCGTGCTTGGGTCAAAGCCCTCCTTTGCCATCCGAACCTTCTGCTGCTTGAAGGTCTCTGTGGTGGCCAGACACTCCTGGGGAGGGGGAGGTGTCAAAGGGAGCTGAAGGAGGGGGTGTTCTGCCCCACGGGTTCAGGTGAATTGCCTAAGTTTTGTCAAGGGGCAGGTCTGGGGAAGAGGGGCATGAGGCCAGGGTTTAGGGGAGGGGGTGACAGGGAAGTGAAGAGCCAGGCCTGGAGGATGAAATGGGTGAAAAGCGTGTGTCTGGGAAAGAACTGTTCTTTCTATTCACAGAGGACGTTATGTGGGGGCCCTTTTGTGGGGTCTGGGAGGCACTGACTGCTGCAGATAGAAGGCGTGAGGGGTCAGAGCAAGAGTGGCTGGTTACCTGGAGCCTTAGGAATCGAGGCCGGGCATAAGGTGGTAAGTTCTCAGAAACATGGGCATAGAGCTGCACGAGATCCAAAGAGTGCGGGGGACGCAGAACCAGGGCTGCCATCCCAGCCCTGCCTTCGTGCCCTGGTGGGTGTGGGGGGCAGGGTCAGCCATGGTAGCCAGTCACCATGAGGCTTCATGCTCCCTGTGCCCAAGTAATAGGGGGTTGGGCTGGGTGGGCTGGGTGACCCCTCCCATGCCCAGGCACCTGGGACAGTGACTCCGTAGACGTTCACCTCCTGAAGAAAATCCAGGGTTTCCAAGGCCTCCGCCACCTCAGTCGTGGCTACATTCTCCCCCTTCCACCTGTGAGAGAGCAGAGATTTGAAACTGGGAGTCAGGGCTCAGGGCCTTATGAGCTTCGTGGGGAGGGAAAGAGGTCAGGGATGAGGGTGAGGTGCCAGACGGTCACAGGGAAGAGTGTTTAGGAGGTCTGAGGTAGGTTAGATGAGGGGCTGAGTTAGGCAGATTAGGGAACTGTGGTTTAGAGGACTTGGGTCAGAGCTCAGATGCCCAGGAGAGGGATCAGAAAGTTAGGGACAGATACCTGAAGGTGTCTCCAGTACGATCATGGAAGCGAAGAAAGCCTTGGTCATCGCAGACCAACAGGTCCCCGGTGTTGAAGAAAACATCCCCAGGCCGGAAGACATCCTTCAGCAGCTTTCCCAGGGCCAGCTCAGGCCCCCCAGCATAGCCCAGGAATGGCGACTGCGGGCTCACAGGGGCCACCAGCAGTCCTGGCTCACCTGGCAGAGTTGCCGGAGTCAGCCTCCTAGCCCCAGCCCCACTCTCCAAGTCCAAACCTCTTTTGCGAGCTCCACCACCCCTGCCCACACCACCTGGCACAAACCTGGGGATGTGGCCACACAGTGCCCTTGGATATTCCGAACTGGCTCCCCTGTGGTGACATCATAGCGAATCAAAGAGAAGGGGAAGACATGCTGGGAGAAGGGAGACCCAGGCACTGGGTCATTTTGTTTGCATGAGCTCCCTCCCCACCAGCCCCCCACATTGTTCCAGGGGTTTTCCAGTTTCCTCCTGCAACTCACCTTGTAAAGCCAGGAAGCCCGCCCCACAGCACCCTGCTGTCCAGTGTAGTTGAAAGTTGCCACGTTGCCCTCAGTCAGCCCATACGTCTCCAGCACCTGCAGGGGCCCGAAGCGGCGCACAAAACGCTCCCAGGTGTCTGGACGCAGCCCACTGCCCACCGCCAGCCGGACCTTATGTCCATGCTCTGCCTTGTCCTGAGACAAGTGGGGAGAGGGGCAGGAGACTGAATGCCAAGATGCCAGCTCCTCCAAGTGGAGCCCTGTTTCACATTCCCCAGAAATCCCTTCCACTGTGACCTCCTTCGGATGCCCTAAACATCAGAGTCCTAGCACCCCATACCCTTTCTTGCCATTTTCTTCTCCTCGCTTCCTCTCCCCCCAACTCCCAGGCAACTGTCTCGGTGGCTCCGCCAACTGCCCATCTCCCTTCCGTGGCTCTGCAAGGAGCTGTGCCCACGCACCGGGGGCTGGTTGACAAGGTATCGGCATAATTCCCCGATGTACTGGAACACCGTCACCCTGTGCTGCTGGCAGTCCTCCCAGAACTGACCAGCTGAGAACTTGGACTTCAGCACCACTGTGGCCCCTGCCAGAAGTGGGGAGGGAGGGGAGGAAGGAAGGAGGTGAGGTTAAGGGCTGGGGAGTCCTGACCCCCTCCTTCCCAGGCACTAGCCTCCCCTGTAGTGTAGTTCCTGGGAAAGGCCTGGCTGTGACATTCACACTTTGCACAGGCCAAGCTGGCCCTCCTTCCTTCCCACCTGTGCCTTGGAGAGGTTTATGCCCTCTTCCCACTTCCCATCCCCAAGCCATCCATCCTTCGAAGCCTGCCTCCAAGTCTCAACCCTCTTCTCCATTTGCCTCTTCCTGGGCTGCCACTCACAGCTCTCCCCTGCCCTGGCCCCTGGAGTTCTGTGAGCTGCATGGCTGCCTTAGTTGCCCAGTCTGCAGGTCTGTGCAGGCGATGCTTCTCCACTGTACCAGGAGCTCCTGGAGAGGAGGCCTTGCCTCCTCCTTCCTCTGGATTCTCTACCTTGAAGGGCTCAGGAAGCATCCCCAGGTGAGCGTACCACAGTGGATATTTAATGTTTGCTGGTACGAGCATTTGTTGGAGGACTGAATCGGGGGTTGGGGTGGGGGAGACTGACCAATGCCCAAGCAGCCCACGATGCCCAACAGGGAGCCAGACATGTGGTAGAGTGGGAGGGCGAGGTAGATCACATCATCCTGGTGGGCACCACAGAGCTGGTAGAATCCCTGGCATTGAAGGATCTTCAGATGACTGATCCGAGCAGCTTTGGGGAGGCCTGGGGGTGGGGTAGTGGGGGAGATCAGGGGAAGGGTCTGAGCTCCAAGTCTTGTGTCCCTCTTTGTCCCTCCTGGGTTTCCCACAGAAAGCCACAGAGGCAAGACTGAAACTGAGAAGACAAGCCAGGCTGTCTTAGAAATGGAGGAAGTTCAGGGACGTAGAGAAATGAAGAGGGATGGGAGTGCTGGCGAGAGAGGGGATATGATCGCTGGGCTAAGAACCCTCTCTGGGGGCTTTGAAGGCGTGGCCCGGTAGCAGAGGAGGTCACAGGTCCTGTTCTTAGACCCCTGCGTTCCTCGACCTTAGTTTCTAGGAGGCAAACATTGAATCCAGCCCTCACCCGTCGTGCCAGAGGTGAAGATATACAGGCACGTGTCCATTATGTTCTTGGGGGCAGACAGATATCCAGGCACTGGTTCATCCACTTCAGCTGAGGCCTCAGCCAGCAAATCGCTGATTCCAGCAGGATGGCTTTCAGCGCCTGCAGCCCACAGGTGGAGCCCCATGGCTCTCAGGGCCGGCAGGTCAGGCTCCAGGGACTCCAGGAACTCTGGGTGGAGTGGGAAAGCATAGCTCCATGGCTCTGCCGCTACCCACAGGCCCTCTCCACCCTTTACCCTATTCACACCCCTCCTCCACCTCCCACCCGTATTGCTCCTGGATGAGACTGGACTGCGGACGTCCATCATGGGTCTGGTATGGAGCGCGACTGTTCGGAAATCCTTGGAGAACCAGAGACTCAGCTCCATCCTTTCGCAAACCCAGACTCCTCTCTCCACCCTTTCTGAACCCCAGGAAAAGCGTGCGGCCCGCTTCCGAGCCCA